CATCTTACTGATTCACCCTTAGCATATTTTAAATTCAACACTTTTAACCTTAAATAAAACTAATATACTTTCTCTCTGGAGCTGCTTCTTGTGTTTCTCACCCCTCACTATTCCCTTATCTAGACAATCTTTTCTCTCAGTCTTTCCTTATGAGTTATAATTTCTAGACCCAAAACAAGTCTCAGTCTCTCTCTAATGAGCTCTGTTGTTCTTAATGTGTTGCCTACACTGAATACTGAAATTATAAACTAAGAGATTATCAGAACCAAGGTTACCTAAATGTACCTGAGAGGTGACTTTAATTGAAACATAATTGATGCAAAACAACTATCTTTTTCCAATTCTTTTGTTGTGGTCAACGTTCTCTGTAATACTTTTCCATTTTCAGAATTAGACTATACTTTCTACACAGCAAGTAAATGTGATACTTTATTCTGTTTTCTAGATATTATGAATATACTATGAAGTTGCTTTTAAGATAGATTTTTGGACATTTTTGTTTAGCAACTTCAATTGCAAACTGTTGGAATTGACATTTATGTGTGTATATCTTAATGGAGCACAAGGGAGTTATCTAGACTATGAACTCACTGCTGCTTGAACCAAAACACAGATAAGTCAGAAAAGACATTTTCAATGAGTTAATAACAGGGCTTTGATAATGACATAATATATGCCAAATTTAGACGAGCATGACACTAGTAGCATCCTGGGAGTTTTTCAGTGGCATGAAATAAATCTGAGACTGAGTTTTTGGAATTTCACCTGCTGTCCTACAACACCTAGCAGTAAAAGATGCTTGTGTCAGTCAGCATAACATGTAGATTTTATATGTAATTTAGCTTCTGAGTAGGCTGGTGTTGGAATAGAGGCAGAAATTTGTCTTTTTTAATGAGGTGAAAAAAAGGAATCTAGAAAATTATTTATACAGGAAATCAATCGTACATCTTCCCAGACTCTGCCGTATTTGAAATATTCCTCTCTAGTTCTCTGTTGGCACTTCTTTTTTTTTGTTTTCTCCTTGTCACTGTGACTTCTGAGCAGTTCAGAATCACAGCCTTGAAAAGAAGAAGAAGAGCTTGATTTTTAGGTCCTCTCACCATTATAATCTGTACGTAGTCTTTTTATTGAGGCATACACAATATCTGTAGATTATAGCAGAGAGCTGCAGTACTTTGACCTCTGTTTTTGAATTTATGTTCATGTGGCTATGAATTTCAATTTGCTTGCACTTTTGTTTACCTTCCCCAGTGTTTATGGGCCCTTTCTGGCTATTAAGATCTAGAAGGGAGCATAAGAGTCAGCTAGTTAAAAGCTTAGTATTTCATTTAAACTGCATTAGTATTGTACTCAGTAGAATAGATTTCTTGTACTACAGACGCCTGGTGTAGGTCCCACTTGCTCATGCTATGATACAAAGCTCACGGTGTCTTCAACTTCAGGAGGAAAAAACAGACGCTTCCTGGGAGTGTTGTTAAAAGTATGTGTAGAGAAGTTGTCCATAAATGGTGTAGTGAGCACAGTTCACGTGGCATGCCCCATTGTGCCCCTGTGCTAACAAGCAACATTCTGCCCTTGGCCAGCTCTGTTCTTCACTGCATTGCATTTTTGGCAGACTGCTCCCATACCAAATTTCCTTTTGCAAATAAATTGAAACAGTATTAACAGTGTATTTTGCTGATGTTTCAGTTTGCTGAAAGGGACTTACTCCTAAATCACGTGATGAGAAATGTTTGTGTTTTGTCATGACCTTGTCAGATTAGGTAGCATATCTTCATTAAAAATACACAAGATATATTTATTTAATATGTAATGGCTTTCTAGGGTTAGTTGTGTGGACTTAAGTGTGTTTTCCTGGGCTGTGACTATGATCATTCTATGTTTCTATGAATATGATGCAGTCATGTCTGCCATCTGTGCCTTTTCTTCATCTCTGGTAGCAGAGCCACTAGAAATACTATGGCAAGGCATTATAGCTCCAATTCTGCAAAACTATTACAATTTCTAATGTGAAATTGAAGGCATTCTCCAGGAAATAAGCATTGCTGTATGGCGATTCACTCCTTTCTGCTTGCAGGGTAAGGAACTGAGATCCAAGTGGAGGTAATGCATCCCCTGCAAAAGTAGTTACTAACAGACTTTGTTTTCTTTTCCTATCCTATTCTATCCATTACCTTCCTGTGAGAACTTTAGCGTGTGCGCATGCGCACGCACACAGGCTTTTTTGAATGCATTCTCCTTTTCTGAATTTCATGGGAAAAGGATTTTCCAGCTTCCCCTAGCTGGAGTCAGAGCTGCTCTGGGTAGAGGCTGTTGCCATGTGGGACCCTGGAGCACCTGGAGGTCAATGACAGAGAGAGAGATTTACTTTAAACCTCTTAACTTTTTGTCTAGGGGCTAATCACTGCACTAGGGTGTCTCTCAGAGCCATAAAATGCTATGTGCACAATCTCTCTTGCTTGCAATCACACCCACGCATTCCTCCTACTCCTCCCCCTCCTGTTTTCATACATTTGCCTGGATAATGGATAATCTCCTTCCTGTCACCCCATATTGTCTCTCAGTTGGATACAGTAATGTTTAATTGAAGGAAAAAAAAAACCAAAACACTTCTGTAGCAATTGTTTGGAAAGTTTCTCCAGTTTTCTTTGTTTCTTTTCTGTATGCAAAGTAGTTAAGATATTCATACTTTCAAAGAGCTTTCTCAGTAGTAATTATTTTACTCTCCTGCCAGAGGGGCTGTCAATGCCTTTCTCCTCTCAGTTCCATGTTTAATCTGCTGTTTGTTACCCACATCAGCACTGACCCAAGGCTTTTGTCTTCAGATGACTTTGGCATGACTTGTACGTATACAAGCTTCACGTATTCAGCACAGATGAAATGTGTACCTCCTTATTTTATTTTATTTTTAAATCACCTTTACTTTGGGCTATTTGTTTTGCATAGATATTAAGGATGAGATTTTCTGGGATCCTAGTATGACTTTGTGTCCTTGTATGTTGTGTAAGAGGATATTAGTGGAGTAGAAAAGAGATGGAGCAGGCAAAGTGTGAATGAGAATAAAAGGATTACAGAATAGAAAAGTGATCTTTGCTTACAAGATTAGAACTACATTTTTACACTTCAGAGCTGCTCCTGCTCCAAGAATCTCTGAGTCAAAATTTCCTCCATCTCCGTTTGAAGGAAAAATGAGTAGCGTGTTTCCACATCTAGATGCAACAAAGTTGAATCTTTTTGCTAAGGCATCAGCACTTAGGTAATCTTGTGATTATGATGACTGCAGAGTGAACGTCACAGGCTTGATGGTTTAACTCAGATTCTCAGAAATCCTAATGGAAATGTTCCATTCTTCTTCCCAGTAGTAAACATTCAGACAAAGCTGAATTATTAATCACTGTAGAGAACCTCCATGTTTCTTTCCTCAAGTAAACAGCTTTCAAAATGAGTGTAAACATAATTTAAGACAATTCTACTGTCGGCATATGCTTCCAAGGGAATATTAAGGGGTATTAGCATTCATTAATCATTAAAGTCAGAACTACTGAGCTGAGTGAGAGAAGGTCTGAAGTTCTTTCTAAGTAACTGTATTTTTCTCAATTTGTCCTTTTTTTTTTTTTCTTCTTTTTTCCCCCCTGTAAACTTCCTGAGAAGGTTTTTCTCCCTAGGAACGTTATTACTCTTTGTATCCAGATAGACTGAGTTTGTTGTTATCATTCAGTGTTTCTGCTTCTTTGTTACACTAAAAGACAAGGGTCAAAACATGCTGATAAATAATAGAGGAGGGACCACTCTTTGAGCAAGCAAGATCTAACTCAAATCAAATAGCCTCTGCAGAGTATCATTCTCAAACAGCTGGGAAGCTGTCTGCATTATCTTATAGTCCTTTATCCCCTTCCCTAATTTGCAAGAAGAGAAAGTTAGTGAACTTTTTCTTTCTTCTTTCTTTTAACCTTAAAAAAGAGTTGAAATGGAATGTTAAATCCAGTTTCATTTGTGGTTATTTTCTCTTCTCCAGATGGATTCATCTAACACATACTGACAGCTTGTAATTTTATGCAGCCAGTGATGTGTAATAAGCTTTAGGTGTTTGTTGCACGAAATAGGATATTTGTCAGAACTAAAGGGTCCTGGCTGCAGGCAACAATGATGTGAAGGACAGGATAGTCATGGCTGTAACAATGCATTGGATAAAATAAATTGGAAAAATAAAATGGGGTGAAAACAACCAGCATAATTTCTCTGATCTGTTACAAAGTTAGCATTCCATGCATGCTCCAGGTATGCATTACAGCATGGGTGTCCAGACTTTTGGCTTGCCTGGGCTGCACTGAATGAAGAGGAATCATCTTGGGCTGCAAATATATTAAGTTGCTCTGAAAGTTATGCCTCATCTTTATTTCTATAGAAATGGCAGCAGATACAAAGAGCACAATATCATTACTTGATAGGGCAAATTCTCAGCTACAAAACACTATTTTTCAACGTAGTCACCACTGTTAGCTCTGGATTTTTGCCAGCAGTGAACAAGAGCCTGTATGCCAAACATGTGAACATCTGCACCAGTGGAAGTGACCTGCTGCTGCCACTGCTGGAACACATCACCCACTCTTTGGCCTCTGTAAGTGTTCAGCAGGTGTCAATGAATGTCAGTGGGTGCCATTTTTTTCCATGTGGAAGAATCCAGTTCCATATTTTTGCTTCCATGTCAAATTGTTCCTCTGCTGCCATCTATCACATAGCAACAGAATGTAATGGAATATTGGTGGGAACATTCAGCCTCTGTTGCCGTACCACCAACATCCACCTCTGATATTGTGGGTCAGCATAGGAAAATAGAAGATATTACTTTCAGAGCATCCCTTGTAAAGTATGCAATATCATTATTATATAAGTAACAAAACATTTTAATTTTATTATTTGTCATAAATCCTTAAAAGTAAGAGAGAAACAAAAACAAAACTAGTGAGATATTTTATCTTGTTTTTGTGAAACTTTCCTAGATATGCAGGAAATCAGTGGTCACAGCTGAATAGGAAAGCTAAGAAGAAGAAGAAGGCAACATTTATGAGTGGCCAGAAGCTGCAAGAAAGCAAAGACATTTCAATTCTGGATTTAACAGCTAGGACAAGTGCAAGAAATTCCCTTCCTTGGAGCTATGACTTACTGCCTACAAGCTATTTCAGCTTTCAGCCAAGGTATCAGAATGTCAGAGCAATTTGTTATGAGTATTTACTTTTTTCTTTTTCTTTTTCTTTTTTTGGTAGTGCTTCTTACCTCTAGCTAGCATGTGGGTGGAAGAAGCACCTTTATTCAGTACTTCACTTTTCAGTACAGTGTCACTAGGTGCTTTTCTCTGCCAATATTTTCTGTTCCTTTGTTTGCATTTATCCTTCACAAAAGCTGTTCATTTTGTCCCAGCCCCTGCACGAGGACATCTCCCCTTGATAAAGCTGTGGCAGAGCTACAGATTCATTAATTACAGATTCTGTGGGCCAAGTTGGGAACAGTTGATCCCAAACTGCCAGTTGCCTTTGGAAGATTCACTGTCAGGCCAGTCCTTTCTCCAATAGAGTGAGTAGGCAATGGCATAGCCTGACTTAATGAGAATAAGATGAATCCTTGAAGAGATCTTTCTATTCCACTTATGCTGAATAGTGACAGTCTGCATCAGCTCAAACGATATCAGCAAGCACGAGGGTAGCTGAATTTTTATGAATTATATTGCCTTGGGCAATGTGAGCAAATAAGATCATCGCTTAGATATATGAAATATTATCTAGTCCAAATATCTTTATTGCTGACAACTCATCAACTGTCACTGACATCAGGGGTGTGCCATTAGGTAGTGGCATAGTCTGACAGTGAGATTAATCCTATTGTTTAATTAATTGCTACATGCTACTGTTTCACACAGGGTCCTGTTCAGTGAATTTGCCCAAACAATGTATTCCCACTAGATCTTGGAATAATACAGAGGTAAAGCCTGGTAGATGTTAAAGAAGGATCACATTAACGATAAAGCAACAGCAGAATGCAAAAACAGTTTTACAGTTATTGAAACTCATGGGTAGGAAAGGAGAGAGAGAGCAGCGAGGTAGTTTGTAGGAGGCAGGATTAATTTGTTCTCTGACCCCAAAGTAGCTTTTATTTCCTGAGACACAGAATCATTAAATGGCTAACAAAGTAAATCTTGGCTGCCATGCCCACCATGTGCCATGTGGAAGGTACGCATGCGGCTTCTCACTTGGGTGGGATCAGATATCTATTCCTGTGGTGCTTCCTGTGATTATCTTAGAAAAAGATAAATATAAACTAAATGTATATGTATACATATAGACTCTGTGTGTATATATCTGTATGTATTTTCTATGTGTGCTTCTATGCAGCTGATAAAATCTCAGAATCTGCAAGGTGTGAGGAGTATATGTGGCAACTGATGTTTTTTCTCCTGTGATGGTGCTTATGGAAGGCCTTTTGTTGAACTACAGCCTTGACTCAACAAAGTACACGGGCATGTATTTTGAATAATTTAAATGCTCTGCTGAGTGACAGATCAGCTCCTTAAAGGAGTTCTTAAGCAAGTATAAAAATTATTGACTGCACTATTCCGTGACTTGGACCATATTCATTCAAGTTGCTCTCGTGGCTCTCATACCTGCTGAAATCCCAGTTCAGTGACTGATTAAAAGGAAAATTATATCTCATCTTGGCATTATGGAGCACAGATGCTCTTTTATGAAGAAGGCAGAATGGTTGCTTATTTGAGATAATCACTAGTTGCTAGTGGTGGAATATCTCAAAAGGGACATTAGGTTTTGGTTGCCTAAAATTTTTTATGCCTGAAATTTTGGATGTACAGCATGAGGAAGTAGTAAGGAGAACCAATTTTCCATAACGTTCTGAGTTTGCCTTCTGAAAACCCAACACTTGGAAAACGTATTATAGTGTCTCACCTAGGTCTTATACAGAAGAAAACAAATACAAGTTCCCAGATATTTCTAAAACCTTGGAGCATCCCAAGTCTTTACATAGAGAAATCATGAGTTGTCTTGGAAGATCAAGGCCCAAACTTCATAGGAAAGATGATGTGGATGTCACAGATGTAGATGCTGAGATTCACATCCTGGTCTCTGTCCTACAGACTAGCACAACCAGGATTACCTGCAAATATTTATGAGCTCTGTCTTTTTTTCTTGCATAGGTTCATGTGCAATATAGATTTATTGATAGTGGTAGAAGTGGCAGTGCCACCTAATGGGGACCAGTGGTTTAAAACATTCACTAGCTGATAAACTCTTCATTTGCTATCTTGTACTAGGTTTCTTTCCCCTCCTCAAAACAGCTGTAAATTAAGGCTTTTGAAAGGACCACAAGAAAAAAATACCATTAAAGAATTGCTTGGGTAGGGAAGTTTTTGTGAAACACTGGAAACTGGGCATTGAATAAGGACATGATAGGATTCTGTGCTTGCCATCTGCAGTAAGAGACATGGATACTGGAGTGTCAGAATGCATTTCCTTCTTCTAAAATAATGCCAAATGTAGTAAGCAGATTTACTCAGAGTTACAGTGTCTCGGATGTTACAGAGCTGGTTTGCTGCCTCCCTTCATTCTGTGCTGGATGAGCTGTACAGATAACGATTTACAAATTAAAATACACTTTCATTAACAGATTTTCGACAAATGAGCAAAGAGGGCCAGTGGAGCCACACAAGATGTTACTTGGTCCAGGAGGAGTGATGTACTTTATAATTAGTTTCATTTACATGTGTTCAGTGGGTACTGCACAAGTCATTTTTTATCCCTATCCAGAAATCATTCTCAAATAAGTTTTTGTATATGCAATTCTGATGGAAATACAGTAATGTGTTGCTAATGCTGGAGAACCTAATTAATTACTCTATCCACTGAAAGTCAATGCAGATAAGGAACTTTCAAAGATAGATAGGTTCTTGTGATTATTTTCTTTGTAATTTAATGTCCAGTGTACTTAGAGATAAAAATAAAGGATTTTATAAGATAGGGTTTTAGTTCTTGACAACAAAGGCTATTTCCTAAACCAGTCCAATACTGTCAATGGAAAGAAATGTGTTGATTAAATTGGAGGCTTTGGTGATCCATGGAGAGTGCTTAAAACTCTGAAGAACTTCCACTGTTTTGCTCTAATTACCTTGAGCAGACACAGAAAACTAGGGAATCTTTTACTCTTGCATACGTGTACATACCTACATCTTCTCTGTTCTACAGCCTTTCTTCAGAAAGCCTCTGCATGGCTAGTTCTTGCTAGGTCCAGAGGTCCTTGGCTGTGTTTCTTATTGAGACCCCAGAAGGCATGGAGAAGTTTGTTTAAAAATATTGTTGACTCAAGTAGTCCATGCAATCTGAAGAAAAGTGCATCCTTAAAAATTGCCATTAGAGCGTAAATAGAGAAAATTAGCCAAAAGTAAAAAGGGGTGGCTGAAAGGCAGTGTGTATATGAAATGCCAGAAGAAAGAGGACAGCTGACAGTCTTAAACAAGACCAATTATATACATGAAGACAAGGAGATGGTAGGTAGTTGGAACGAAAGTTTGGAATTCCAAACTGAACTTGAGAGGAAGCTGAATGCAAAGTGTTGAATGTCCTCAAGTGATAGGGGTAGCTCTTCTTCAGCTCAGAACCCTGAGAGAATTGCCAAATTAAATCTTCATTCATTCTGGAAGGATTTTAAATGTGCATTTCAAATCAGCAACAGCATAAAGCTGGAAATAAGATACTTCAATGCTTCTATGTAGAAAAAAAATGAACTGAAAAGCAAGAAATCCATGGGTAGGACCTTGGAAGCATGTTAAGTATTCAAAAAGAATCATTGAAGAGACTGATGTACAGAATGCTACAAGGGTTTATTGGATGTACATAATGCTAGGTTAATCTGATTTATTTTGTGGCCTTTTCTTCTATGCAAAGTAAGCACATCTGCTCTTCTCTAGCCAGACTTCACTAAGTTATTTTAGATATGATGCTGTGTTCATTACTAGTTCTATGTAGGTGGATCAGTATTATGTAGATCTGTAAAAACCATAAAATTGTTAAGAATGTGGCTCAATGATCAGAAAAAGGGGTAGTGTTAGAACAAGAATAACTGGGCAGTAAAACTGGTGTTTTTCCTGAAAAATTAATCTTAAGAGTAATTTAATAAATTGTTTTCATGAATGATCCTGGTCCTGGAACAAAGACGAAAGGTAACAACCATATTAATCAGTTTCAAAATAATACTCATGAAGAATTAGGTTTCAGACAATTCAAAGTAATAGGAAAGGGGCAAAATAAGTGACTTTTTACCATTATGCAATATAGGTTAAATTACAAGAATCTATCCTATTTCCTGAGATCTCACTATCCAGAAGTAAAAGAGAAAGAAAATGATGTGTATCTATTAGTCCCGAAATTTGTCAGTGGCTGAGCCACTGGTATGATGCCGTCATTAAAAATGAGTTCTCCTTGGATATATCAGAAGCATATATGGGAGTTAATAGCAGTGTTGTGGGAAGGTGTCTGGAATGCTGTGAGTGAGCCCCAAATTTGTGAGAAAAATGACTTCAGATTGGAGTAAATGTAAAGAATGAGTGTTAAAATGATTAAGAAAATGAGTGAGTATCCAGTTGTGAAAGAAAAGAAAGAGAGCATAAGCTGTTCAGCTTAGCAAAACAGAAACTGAGAAATCAGATGATTACTACCTAGGAATAAAGCAGGATAAACAGTAAAGGAATAGAGCTATTTAAGATACAGGATAGCATTGACTAAAGAGTAAAATAGATATTCATTTCTCACAATTAAATATATGATGGATGTGGGAAACTTTCCAATCATGCCAACTCTATAGCAGTGTTCTACAATACTGAAAACTCTGTAAATCTGTAGTCAAGAAAGATTAAATCAACCTGGAAGAGGTGCAAAAAAGAGTTACTAGATGAATAGCTAAATAATGAGTATATTGCTCAAGAGACATTAGAAGAAAACTTGCCTTTTCAAGCCTTTCAAAATGAGAACAGAGAGGAAATATTGCTATTCTCTATAAATACATCCAGGGAATAAAGATCAGGGAAGAAAAGCCATTTTAAGCTAAAGGAAAACATTGGTATGAGAATAAATGAATATGAACTGAATATGAATAAATTTAATCTACAAATGAGAAAAAGGCTTCTGAAGATTAAAGTAGCAATGGTAAAAATAGTGAATTGAGTGAGATAATCACTGAATTTTAGTGAAATTATTGGAGGTCATTGCTGTTTGCTGGTTATAGGAGATTTCTTCCTCTGACAGTAGAGAGTCAATGACCTTGGTGACCTAAATGGACAACTCAGATAAATCTGTTCTCAAGGAGTTCAGCCACAAAGTTCAATGAGAAGAAATAGGGACTAATTTGAAGTTGTTCTATATTAGCATTTTTTTCATTTTCAGTTGTTTCAGTTTCCTATTTTCATTTCTATTCCATAACAGTAAATGAAGAGTCAGAAGAATCTGCAGAGGAAGTTGGAGGACAGACAATGATTTTGGATACATCAGGTATGTAGGTCTTATAGTAGGTACTGGAAACTGCATTGGAAACCTAAAATATTTTTTTTCTTTATTTTTTTCTCACTCCAGAGAAAGTAATAAATTTCAGGTCATGTTTACTTCTTTTTCCCCATCATCTGCTTTGCCAAAAAAAAAAAAAAAAAAAAAATTAAAGTAGAGGTGGATAGGAGGAGGGAGCAGAATCTAGTTTACAAGTTACTACTGTCTTCTCTTCCAGTGGATTGCAGCACAGCATGTGCAACAAAGCTAATGTATTCTAAGTTTTTAATGTAGAATAATAGCCACAGTACTTCTGTAAACCTTACTGTATTCATAAATAACTACGGAACTCTCTTTTTACATTGTTTTTCCCAGAGACCTTTGTGAATCAACTCAAACTATAAATACAGAAAGAATTTCTTCTGGTAGTTGGACATTTTTCTCTATCTTTGTGGAAGACAGAACAAGAAGTTAAAAATAACTGTGAAAGGAAAGAAACAAAAGATTTCAATGTTTTGAGAAGTAATTGTTTGATGCCATGTTGAGTTTTCAGTTAGAGGGTCACAAAGATCTCATTCTTGTCACTGGCTTTCTCTCTACAGGCACAGTGGATGTGATGATAAATTTCTCTTTTGTTTGCTTCAAATTGCTATACTTTATTTACCTTAAGGACCAAGGGAATTGGGCTGCTTCATGAAAACTCAAGGCCCAGAGCACTGTTATTACTAACTGTTGAATGTGTAGAAAGAGACTTGAGGAGACAATCAAGTGGTGTCAGTAGTTGGGATGATTCACTGAGAATCAGTGTTTTTAAAGGTCAGGCAACAGCCTGATTTATTTTCCCTTTCTTGAGTGATAGGGCAGCGTGAATAAGCTGAATAGAAAAACATTGCTCTAATGGCACTCCAGGAAAGAAATTGTTCATTGGGGCCATACCAGGGGCATATTTATTTTCTTCCAGTTGACATTTTCCCGTACCTTTTTCCACTCTGGTTCATTCTTCGCCAATAGTAGCAAATTATAGTTATTCCATACAAGTCATCTGCATTTTTCTCCACCAGAAATCTCAAATATTTCTGCTGCTCTTTCCCCTTTCTTGTTTCAGCAGGAATTTTGATTGTTTTTACTATTAGTTATGCATGTGAGTACAGTCCTAGATATCTCTAACAACTTTCACCAAACCTCAAATTCAGTAATCTCTGGAATCTCTATTCAGGTATGCTTGATGCAGTCTTGCTACAGCTATGGGAAGGAATGGAAGGACAATGTCTATTCCACCTTGTAGCTAAATTCAATCTAGAATTGCTTTTATTTTTCTTCAACAAACTTTACCTCTTTAGTTCTTTTCAGATTATTTCAGAGCATTTCTTTCAAAATGTCAGGCACATTTACTGTTGTTCTTTAGTCTGAGCGGTTTAAACTAGTTGATTTGTAATCACTAGAGAGAGCTCTGGAAGAAGTCAGACAAAAATGTTGTGTATCCTTTTAACCAGATGTGTGCTGAATAAAAACTTGTATTCTAATTTGTATCCAAATTAGGCTTGGGCTGGAGTGTGGATCTGAGGCTGAATTATGTCCAGATTTAAAGTTTAACAGCAATGATATGATGCGGATTCTTAATGTTTCTTCACAAGGAGAGAATGGTAAGTTTTCTGTAAAATTATTTCTACCATCTCCTTCACCAGACTAATTAGAGAATAGTCTGCCCATAGGACTTTAGTTGAATGGCCCAGGAGTGAAAAATGAATTCTCCTCAGTTATTTAGATTAGCATAAAGAGGATGGGAATGCTGAAGCCACAGTTGTCAAAACTAATGTGAAAACAAATGAAAATGGGCATGGTACGAGTGTCACCACAGAATCATGGAGTGGTTTGGGTTGGAATGGATCCTTAAAAACACATAGGTCCAACCCCCTGCCATGGGCAGGGACACCTTCCACTACCCTTGGTTACCCGCAGCCTCATCCAACCTGACTTTGTACACTTCCAGGGAGGGAGCATCCCTACCTTCCCTGAACAACCTGTTCCAGTGCCTCAACACCCTCATAGTGAGGAATTTCTTCCCTGTACTCAATCCCACTATCCATATTACAAACAAAGATGTTAAATATTGTTGCTCCCAATACCAACTCCTGAGGAACACTGCTTGTAACTGGACATTAAGATGTAGACCACAGTTCTTTGAGTGCAACCATCCAGTCATAGTAGAGCCTTACAATTTTTCTGGTCTTCTCACTTTCTCTAGGGAGAATCTAGAGAATTCTGTCAAGTTCACTACAGTCCACAGTTTGTAATGCAAATAAAATAAGCAAATTCAGACTTAAAATGCCATGCACTGCAAAATTGCTCCCAACCTTTTCTTGCAGGAAATAAATGAAACTAGGGTGAAATGAAAATTGTATTCATCATTTGATTAAAACCTTTTGCAGCCCATGTAATCCAAATGGCTTTATGAATGGTTGTCATTGAGACTGATGTTTGAAGGAGAGAGTCCCAGAAGTTTTTTAAAAAATTTGTTGTAAAAGGGAGAGTAAATGACAAATGAAAAGCTTACCTCCTTCCCCTTCCTCCCTCTCCCCCCAAAAGCAAGAAAGAAAATAATCATCTCTGCACCCATAGACAGCTGTGTTTTGAAGAAAATACTTTTCTGCTCTAGAAATAGAAAATAGCAGCATCTTGAATCCTGGGAGAATTCCCAACTTACAAAATTTTCTCCTTTGTTTTCTTAAAACTGTCAACAACAAGATGATAAATTGAAAGCCTTGAAAGTTAAAATCAGCTCTACTCTAGACCACCTCCTGCAGAGACAGTAGTAGATCACAGAAGCTTTCCAGATTTAACCTGCTTTCTTCTCAGATAAATATACCTCTTCTGAGGATTAGGGAGATGTTTGGTCCTCTTTAAGCATTGTTCTTTTGGAAGTTTTGTTGAAACTCCCAACATAAAGAGAGTAATGGTGTTGGTGACGTTTTCCTGAAGACTCCCAGAACTCTTCCAGCAGAAGCACATATCCAGTAGATTTAAAGTGGGAACTCATCTTTTCAGCCAAGGTTTTGGGGACTTCCCATGGTTATGCTTGTGTGAATTGAATATATAACTCTAGAATTTAATAGTTCCTAGAGCTTTGAGTCTTTCTGCAAAGCTCATCATAATCTCTAAGCCCTCTGGAAAAAATGAGCAGTTTGTATGTTCATTCAGGAATGCATTGTCAAGATTTTGGCCTGATCAGAAGTGAATTGTATTCCTCTCCATCTTCAACCTTCTGGATGACTTTGATCTGACACTTTTGCCCATTTTACCTTTGCCTAAATTGCTTTACTGAGAACTAAGTTATCAAGTCCTTCAGAGAAGGGACTGGCTGTTTTACCTATCACCAGGATCTCTTGTTAGAATTTTAGAAATTAGGGATGTAGACAAGGTCTAGAAAAAATATTTTATGGGATCAGGTACAGCTCTAAGCCCAGAGTTCAATCCTGTGATTTCCTGCTATTCTACATAGTGCAAAAAAAAAAAAAAAGAAAAGTAACAAATGAGAAAACTGCAAGTAAAGCAGACATTTGTGAAAAAGAACAGACATTTAATCCCATAATACCCTCATCATTTAAATTTGCCTTGATTCGTGCATACTGAGTATTTCTCTTTTTCAATGCAGAGCATTTATTTTCTGAAGCAAGTACGTTTCTGTCCCCTCCACACTCTCAAACTGTATGTGTAATATCATTTACATTACAGAAATGTCTCTTGTTCTTTCCAAAATCTTTCACCTCTCATGAAATGCTATTTTGCCTCCACAGATAAGAGCCACTTTCATCTATTGGTGCAAGTGTAACTCAAGCATCGTAGTCACTAGCTACTGAGAACCCTAGTTGATTTTTAGCCAGCCTTTATTGGATTTCAGTTACAAGAACACTGTATTCACCATGACTTACTTTTTTATGTGAGATCTAAGCCGTATCTTTAATTTCACTGGTATTCTATGACTCACATCTTTTCATCCAGTGTTATAAAAACTGTTCATTACTGGTTTAACAGCAAGCAGGAATTAAGTTACTTCTTTGTATTTGGTTAGTCTTAAGTCTTCAGACTTATGTGAATTAGTACTATCATTGATAATAGGAATGAATTCACTTCAGGAATCACTTCAGAACTTTATTTTGGTCATTAAAAGATAAGATTGTAGAAATGATGATCTGGGTTATAGTGCTGTTACAGCCACTGGCTTACTGGGGAAAAGTCACTACATTTTCTCATGCTTCAGTTTTCTGTTTGCAACATACTAGTTTTCCTCACAATGTGCTAAGAAAACTTCATCTTCTGATTACGAAAAAATGGCTATTAAGGATTACTTTATTATTTGCAATGCCTTTTATTTTTAATAATCATCGTCAGCCAGGAGAATATCTTCAGGCACCATGAAAATAATTAAAGAGAGCAAGACAATACAGATAAAAACTTCTTTAATTATTTTTTAATAGGGCTTTTGTTGGATTACAAAATGTCACTGAAATAATAACAACATAAAATAAGAGATTTGTTTCTCTCTTTCATTTTCCAGAGCTGGTGATCTGTAACTGCCTGTTAGCTGTTACACAATCATGTCTCTTGGTATGCATTTAATACTTTAAATATGCCCCTGATTATATGAAAGCTTGATTATTCCAACATCTTTTAGGTTCTGCATGATAATCAAGGCTGTGCTGGAAGGACCTGATCTAATGCCAGCTGTTGGCAAAGCAAAACCCAACACTAAATCCTGCAGGCAATATTATGTGTTTTCTAAATCCATGTTCCCTGAGGGAAACCTGTGTAGCTTCAAATTGGGCAGCAGTAAACAGCATGGGCCTCTACCGTGATTTTTCCCTGATGTTTCACATTGCATTGTGGGGAAAAAAAAAAAAAAAAATTCTTCCGCTCTTATGTTTGGAAAATTTAAAGCAGATGTAACTAGCCTCATGACAGAGGCAATCTGAAAATTAAAATTTCCTCTTAGTTCAATCTCACTCAGTAATGGCTTTGTCAGATTGAGTTTCAGATCTCCTCACCATTCATTTATCTGTGGTCTGAATAACAGAATCAAGAAGGCTAGTAAAAGTACAGCAAAGTGACCAATAAATTAAGAGATTACTTTCCTATGAAGAGGATTTTTAAGCATATAAACAGGTTAATATTAGGTAACTATATTAATGAGTAGATAGCCTGCAGATGAATAAACAAATAGGCAAACTGTAGTAATGATCTATTATCTATTGTATCACTTCCTAGGTTGACCTATGTTAGACATCTGCTTTGGAGCAAGTTTCACATTTTGGGAGTACCTGTTTCTCCCCATTCATTAGATACAAATCTAGGGTAAAATCACCACACTATATATATTCAGGTAGATGAGATAAATCCCATCCTCACATGCTCCAACTTCTGGTAATATTTTGGGCTCAGTTTTACTAAACCTAACTAGAAAGTAAAAACCACAGTACCAAATCATACAGTAGTCAACACTAAAGTGTCTAATTCCTGGAAATAACTGTGTTTCAAATCTGATTTTGTAGTCAAGATTCTATTGCACAATACTGTATCTTCACTCCTCCACAATAAATACTTTCAGTTGGTCATCAGTGTTCTAGCTGATATTATAAAAATAATCTATTTTATTCTCTAACTTTGAAACGGGGATAATATTTTTTGTGAGGGTGAAGTGCTTCCATTAGTGTGCAAGGTGAAAGATCTTATTAGTTGGTTAACATCTTCCAGTTCACCATGCTTTTAGATACAATTTCTAATTACATCTGCAACAAACCATTTTGCGTTGCTAACGTTTTGGAATATCTTATTCTGTAAATGTAAATCCTTCTGTAGTTCCAAACTCTAAAAAGTTGATCAAAAGCTCTATTTGAAATGGGAATTTTTCCTCAAATAATGTAAATCTGCTTCTGATTATTTCTCATCAAAAGACTCACCTTTATCTGAGGATTCTGCTCCAGTTCCTTTTTTCCTCCCTTATTCCTCTGTCTCTGCATACATTTTAAAGTCTAATTTAGGCTTCCAACACCATACTAAATGTTATCTATTCTCTTAGATCCTTATTTAACTGCTCTTGTCTTAATTTCATCTCTTACAATTGTAACTCATTATTCAGGTTATTTCTCACAAGATTGATTTGAGTATTAGAGGATCATTTACTTTTCCATTATAACAGCCACTTCAGGTTATAAATTCTGACTGTAAGGAGAAAATGTGCTTATCAGTTTTGTCAGCATTTGTGTAAAACAGGACTGGGCTTGTGCTGAAGAGACTATCACGGCTGCTACAGTTTCTTTCTTTGCATTTTCTGTGGATAATCCTGCTGTTGAATCTCTTGCATGCTGAATTGTAGGGGAAAATGCTTGATTTTTGTTGACATTTTCTGTTGTGTATTGAGTAAATGCCTGAAATAAGAGAATCTTTCTATTGTTTACCAGTGCTAAGAGTTGCTGCTTGGATGAGCAGATGGTTCTGGTGATTACTAGCTATGGCTCTGTGGCTTACGTTGCTACTGTTGGGAACAATTATGGCTTTTCTTTCTTTGTGTTGTATTCTAAACCTGCAAGAGCTTACTGGAGGCTGCTGCCATTTTATGTTTACTTCAGACAGGGTATGTTGCAGAAGATACATAACTCTCCACTGTGGGGGCTTTTGTTCTTCCATATCAGGCTTGTTTGATGGCAGTGGTTACAATTCTTAGTGGATTCTCTATGTGTTCATCAGAAGTTTTTGATTAAATGTTACTCTTCCTGTGCTTTATCTTTCAAAACAGTTGTTCATAAATATATGTGCTGCCAAAAGCAATGATGTGAATAAGGCATGACTGTGAAGTGAGGGTTATTTCTCTCTGGCAAGAGAGAGCTTAGAAGCCATGCTTTTTGGCTGAAAGCCAGCCAAGTCTGGTAAAGAGGCATGACCAAATTTTTGATTGCGTATTCATACATTACATTTGAAAATATACAAGTGATGTATTTATGTCGGCTGAAAAGGGAGTTGCAGGTATATATATTTAAAAAAAAAAAAAAAGAAAAAGAAAGAAAGAAAAAAGATGGTATTTTGGCAATCTTGAAACCTATTCTCAGATTTCTTTATCAAAACTAGAAAGCATGGCTGCATGTTTTTCACTGTTCACAGGTCTGTGTTTAGCCCATGTATCTAAATACATACAATTATTTGCCATAGTTTGAGTTTGCACTGCACTACAACCCATGTCCCAGTTTCAGCCAAATTAGAGTTAATAGCTCACTGATGTTTGGTTATTACTGAGTGATGGGTGCATGCCTGGAGTTGGCAGGGCCAGGTGTTTGATGGGGAAGAGTTGCTGCTGTGACGGCACAGGATAGAGCCGCATTGCAAGTGGAGCTGGACCACATGCTGTCCATGGGCTGCATGTTGGACATGCCTGGACTAGCCAATATGAGGGATCATGGCCTTGCAACAGTTTTGCATCAGCATTGAGTTGTTCAGCTGGGCGCTGCCCAGCTCCTCCTACACTGTGCAGGGCTTCAGGCTCTTAGCCCTTGTCCCACAGAGGCTGCATCAGAGCAAGGCTCCCCACAGCCCTGCTCAGCTGTTGGACCCATCGGCTGGCCTGGCTTTGGCCTGTCCTGATCCCTGCTTTGGTGCCCCCCCCCAGCCCAGCACCCCCACAGCTCCAAGCACTCCTAGCCCTAGGAAGTTGCTGGCCCACATGCTGCAGTGACAAGACCCACTGCCAGTGCTAAATGTAAAGCTGCTTGCTTACATCCTGCAACAGTCAGGTTTAGTTCTGGTTTTATATGAGTGGTTGCTTGGGGAAAGCTGACACTCATAAAATGAAGCACAGAAAATCTTGTTAGTGACTTGTCATAATTTTCCCCGCTTACTTTATGGGAGCAGACTAAACAAACAGTTGCTCGGCTCTGCACAGAAGGGTCCGGCAGCTTTCCCCAGTTCCCAGACAATGACATTGATTAATCACAGGGCCATAAGTTGAAACAACACAGAGTACATTTACTGTGCGGTTCCATTTGGAAACCCTCTGAGTAAGAAATGTGAGATATCCGGAGAGGAATGGCAAAGTGGCAGAAAAAAAGTTTGCCAATGTATGTCTCTCCTGTCAGTTATTTACAAGACCTAACTATGTTGTGAGCAGGCCTCAGCTGTGCAGGGCTTGGAATGCCAAGAACACTTGGAAAACTTGTATTACATTGCTGCAAGACTTGGCTTGGTGTTATCCATGGTGGTGGCCCTGAAGCAGACAAGGCATAAACATGAGCATTTCTGAAGCTACAGATATTTTTGTGAATGCTCCAATTAGCTCATTTGTGGCTAACATAATGGTTTGTGAGGGAATGTTCCCATATGTAATAAACACCACAAGTGTTGTACTGGAAATGTCAGCTGCTTTAAAATACAAACAGGACATGATTCTCAGATTAGAAGTCGTTTACTGCCATGCCACTTAAAAGGAGGAGAAGGAGTACCCACAAATAGCTGGATAAAAAGGTGCAAATAGGTTGAGCTGCAGTGGGAGCATGACAGGTTTAACAGATAAGGTTTCATAGCTTTTGATCAATTTGTGTCAAAGAATATACTTTATCTCATTTTGATATGAACATTGAGTCTCCCATCTACAAGAAAGGCCATAAAGAGGATCTAGGGAACTACAGGCCTGTTATTCTGACTTTGGTACCAAGGAAAGTTATAAAGCAGATCATCTTTGGTGAGATCACACAGCATGTGCGTGGCATCCAGGGGATCAGGCCCAGCCAGCACAGGTTCATGAAAGGCAGGTCATGCTTGACCAACTGGGTCATCTCCTTCTACAACTGGGTTACCAGACTGGTAGATGAGGGAAAGGCTGTTGATGTAGTCTACCTAGACTCCAGCAAAGCCTTTGATATGGTCTCTCACAGTATTCTTCTGGGGAAACTGGCTGCCCGTGACCTGGACAGGTATACCCTTCTTTGGGTAAGGAATTGGCTGGAGGGCTGTACTCAACAGGTAGTGGTTAATGGAGTTAAGTCCAGCTGGCAACCTGTTACAAGTAGTGTCCCCCAGGCTTTGGTACAGGGGCCTATCTTGTTTAATATCTTTATTGATGACCTAGATGAAGGGATTGAGTGTACCCTCAGTAAGTTTGCAGATGATACCAAGTTGGGAGGTGGTGTTGATCTGTGTGAGGGTAGGGAGGCCCTTCAAAGGGATCTAGATAAGCTGGATTGCTGAAGTGAATGGGATGAGGTTCAACAAGGCCAAGTGCTGGGTCCTGCACTTTGGCCACAATAACCCCAGGCAACGCTACAGGCTTGGGGATGAGTGGCTGGATGATTGTAAAGAGGAAAGGGACCTGGGGGTGTTGGTTGATGCATGAGCCGACAGTGTGCCCAGGTGCCCAAGAGGGCCAATGGCATCCTGGCCTGCATTAGAAATAGTGTGGCCAGCAGGAGCAGGGAGGTAATCATCCTCCTGTACTCAGCACTGGTGAGGCCGCACCTCGAGTACTGTGTTCAGTTTTGGTTCCCTCACTACAGGAAAGACATTGAGGCCCTGGAGCGTGTCCAGAGAAGGGCAATGAAACTGGTGAGGGGTCTAAAGCACAAGTCCTATGAGGAGTGGCTGAGGGAGCTGGGATTGTTTAGTCTGGAGAAGAGGAGGCTCAGAGGAGACCTTATTGCACTCTACAACTTCCTGAAGGGAGGTTGTGATGAGGAGGGGTTTGGCCTCTTCTCCCAGGCAACAAACAGGACCCGAGGAAATGGCCACAAGTTGTACCAGAGGAGGTTTAGGTTAGATGTAAGGAAGAACTTTTTCTGTCAGAGTGTGGTCAGGCACTGGAATGGCTGCCCAGGGAGGTGATGGAGTTGCCATCCCTGGCAGTGTTCAAGAGGCGTCTGGATGAGGAGCTGCGAGATACGGTTTAGTAGCTTGTGGTAGCAATGGTGATGGGAGGACGGTTGGACTAGATGATCTTGCAGGTCGTTTCCAACCTTGTGATTCTATGATTCTATACTTTAGAACTGGTGAATTAGCACATTTAAGGAACAGTCTTTTATTTTTCCGTCAAGTGGGTAAAAGGAGAACATAGAGGTAACTTACTTGGTTCAGCAGCAGCAAACTTCACTACTGCAACTCACACCACTGAGATTAGCTTGTCCTGAATTTGTGAGGAACAGGAGAATTCACTAGGTTCTTCTCTTTGAGTCAGTAATTCTGCAGAGGAAAATCACGGAATCACAGAACTGTAGGGTCTGGAAGGGACCTCCGGAGATCGTTGAGTCCAACTTCCCTGCCAAAGGGAAGGCTCCCTGCATCAGGTTGCACAGGGCGTTATTTTATGCTGTCTCCTTTCTCCACCATGAAAAGGTTGTCTTTAGAGACATAGATGTCTTTGATCATTGTAAAATATTTCTAAACTAGTGATGTAGTAGCATGAGACTCTGACCTGAACACAGAAGCACAGTTTATATCCAAAATGACCAATTCAGAATCTTTTGAAAGATAAATAACTATAGGTGTTAGCTACCTAAAACTTCAGTTCTTTTCATTAGTGCACTGACTCTTTATAGTTATCTAGTTTATTAAGAAATACAAGCCTTATAATGCATTTTAGAAAATTACTTTGTTGCTTAAGTAATAGATTGGAACAGCACTGAAGAGCCATGCTGTTCTATTTGGTATAAAAAAGCATTCATGACCCCATTTAAAACCATATCACGTGCTCTGTTCGAAGCTGTTCCAAGTCATCAGCTGCATCTGCATTCGTATGTACAACATATGGCATTTAACTACTACATTTGAACTGTTACAGCTATGTTACTGAGTTCCTGTGATTGTTTCCACCTTGTGGCAAATGTGGGATATACAACTTTCCAAACATCGCTCTATACCAGATTCAAATATGTCTTCTGTTAAATGAGTCCCTCTTACTCCACAATTGTCCTTTACACTTCCATTTGTACTAGTGAATACGTGAGCATTGTTTGGTAGACTCTTGCATAGATGAGCCAAGAAAATAAGTATTGTTTACATTAAGAATGGTCAGAATAAACTGTCTGATCACATCTGTGGATGCTAAGTCTTTTCACAAATGCATTTGAAGCCATTCAATGCCCTGATGCCCTGTGAGCTGAGGTGTGTGTTTGGATGTTTGTTTTCTGTAGTTCTCTTTCGCTTTTTTTTTTCTTCTTTTTTTAGTGGACTGGAACAGATAAACGTTGATGTTTCTTCCTTCCTGTCTTTTTTGGAAGATAGCTGTAATATTTGCTGCTTTTTTTTTTTTTTTTTTCTTCTCTCCCCTCCCCCCCCAGTAATTAGAAACCTTTTTCAACTGCCACAATTCTGTCATTTTTGAAGAGTGACCTTGCCACCACTTGCTTCTTCAGGACTCTTACTTTCATTAGTAACAAAGCAATGAGAAGAATACCTGTCAGAGTAAGTGACTGGATGCTCCAATTTACACATTCTTTTGGATGTTGCTTGTCTACTAGAGAGGTTGTATGAACTGTTGATTGACACTTCAATGCTTTTCCAGAATGTAAACTTCTGTAAATGGATGTTAAAATAAAACAGATATTAATATTTGAGTGAAACAAATTGAAGTATTGCATGGCGCATAAACCTCACAGAATTGATGTCAATTCACTTGAAATGGTGCTTTGTCCATGATGTTTGCTGTCTGATTTTATGAGTTGCTGAGGTGTGCATTGAAGGGAACTTCTAAGAGAAAGATTATTTGAATCCCCAGCCCAGGAGCTGCACCGAGGATTAGTTGAAATGAAGGAGGAAGATCTTAACTACCTGGGAGTGTGAATATATTAAAATACACTGATGTGATCATGTATTCTTAATGTGTCAGATGTTGCAATTGCATAATAACATTTTTACTTCTGGAACAAAGACTACATAAAAATTTAGAGCCTTTTCTTTACCATGCAAGATAATACATATGAAGTACAATGAATGTTATCTACTTGTTAGGCTGCCTGATAGAACCCTTGCTTATGTGACGGTTTAGATAATTTGAAAATTCCCTTTGGGCAGAAATCAAGGATATTTTGTTTATCACTTTTCTGCAGAAAGGAGCACTGGACCACTGATATAATTAGGTTTTTAATTAAATTTTATTGAATTCATGCTTAAATTATTTCATAAAGAAATAAGTATGTATTCTGCTGTTTTCTACTATTTGTCTTCTTTCACTCATATTTTCAAGTCTTCATCAGAAAGATTGACTGTTCGGCAGCTGACATGATGAAAGAACCTACAGATTGCTCTGGAAATAAATTATGAACTGAGATGGATTAATTCTTGGCAATACTCAGCAAATCAGTTATACCTGTTTTTCTCTACCTGAAAAATAAGGTTAAGCTGAATTTAACTATGTCACAAGAATATTGGGAAAATTGAGCACACATTCATGTTCAGCATCGTCTTCCTGCACTCTTCCTGAAAGAGGAGAAATCCGACTGAGCTCCCTATGGGAGGAAGAGCCTTTTCCCTTGTGCCATGCACAGGTGGGCAGCACTCAGGGCCCTTGCTGTAACTGAGGACTAGTAGGTGCCAGTCCTCATTTGATCTTTCAAGACCATTCTGAAATCTGTCAGTTAAGACACTTCAACCTGCAAAGTCTGTGTTATTATTATCATTATATATTGTGAATGCATTCTTCAGTTTTAAACAACCTGTTCCTGTGTATCCCTTCCAGTTTTGGTTGCCTCTAAACTTCCTAAACACATGGGAGCAAGTGAATGTTCTATCAGTGGTGCTGGTCCCACAAGTGTGATGTAAATAAATCCCAGGTGTTTTGATGTTACATATTTGACCGCACAGCTGCTAACACTTTTCTGTGATGTGCATCTTCATATTTGTAGGAGCTTCCTATCTATAAGAGGTAAGGGTGTTTTATGTTCATTTCAGACATAACATTTTTACACAGGAAATATCCATGCTGTTCCTTTTCATAAGAATGTTATGCCTGTTTTCTTGTTATTTATAAATTTCTTTTATCTTACCCCGTAAGAGTCACTGAGGATATGAAAAGAAAATGACAGTTTTCTGTTTATAGCAAACACAGCATTAATGTGCATCTTTCTCTTCTGCATTTTCCTTCTGATCTTCCAGCATGCAGAACAGTTTTCCTGCTAATTCATTTAAGGCTGCTCTGTCTGAACACCAGGTAGAATAGGAAAATGTGCAAGCGTAAAAATGCAGAAGCATTTCCTATGCTATGATTTGGAGGGATAAAGCAGGCAGTTTCAGAATTGCAGAAGGGTTGCTTGCATTTGTTGCAATGTTATAGTGGCTGAGCAGGGGGCTCATGGGACCCTCTTGCTTTACTGCCCAGAAGTGAAACTGAGGGCCAGCTCATGTGTACCCTTTTCACTGGACTAAATGAATTGGATTAAAAATTTTCCTTCTTCCCTTCAGTTCATGAGGTCATCTGATGCATTATGATGTTCTAATTCCTAATATCTTGTAGATAAAGTGACTATTTCTGTGTCTGAGCTTCTCCTGTCTTCAGTGTTTTGCCTTGTAGGATTGGAAAACCAACGAATTCTGCTTAATTTGGAATCACTGTCCTCATATACAGCAAATACTTCTCATTCACTTTCTCTCTCGATGGTTTCTCTGCAGGCTTATTTTCTCTCTTGCTCCAGGCTGTGATGATTGATTCATAAAGCACAGAGCTGTGTTTTGCAAGATCAGCATCAGCAATGTTGCTACTGTATGCATAGTTTATAATCCCAACAAACATTTAAAACTTTGAGCACAGAGGAATGCAGTGTCTGTTAATTGGAAATCTCTAGGGCTCTTTGGTTTTCATTTGTTTTGGTGTGGTTTTTTTTTTTGGTTTTGTTTTTTTTGCAATGCGTTGTTAAAAAACAAGCACTCTTCTATGAGCTGAGAGGTGGATTTTATTTAATTACACCTTCATAATGGATTATGGTCAGTTTAGCTGACTCGTGATTGATGATGACTCAGTGTTTTTGATAGGAGTAGAAACACTATTATGTCTTCTTATTCTCTGAGGCCAGCAAAAGAAATTTGGGAAAATACATTTGAAGAGCTGGAATGTTTGAGAAGTAACATGGAAGAAAAGCTATTCTAGAAATGCATGATCTTGGGTCTCAGTCATGGGATTGGTTTCAGCTCTCTATGAACAGGGTTCAACTGACAGAGTACAATATACAATACTCAGCCATCAGAGGACTTGCCTAAGCCTTGAATTTTTGTTCCCCTTCTGAGCAAAGCAGAGTTTTGCGTTCCGTGAAGTGCTTGAGAACTTATTTTGAACTCAATAAATAATTAATTTAATACACTTGTGATCTCCTGACTTACTAATTAATGGTCACCTCTCTAATGATATGATGGGGAAAAAATCTGAATTGCTTAAAAGAATAGCAAACCTTTGCCACTTAGCTTAGAAAGAAAGATAGTAATATCTGGTGAGCTGAGCTCTGTACTGGGTGAAGAAGCCCATCCCAGGGAGGAAAAGGACTGCATAAAGCAGAATATTCCTCAAGGTGAGAAGACAATCTTCTCAGATTTCTCATGAGAATTAGAGAAACTCTGTCTCAGTGACACATGTAAGCAGGTTTTTCTCTATTACGTATTCCAGTTGGTTGCCTTGGACATATTGAAGAAGAGAAGAATATAAGCGAGCTTCAAAGTAGAGGCAATTTGACAAGATGGATGGTGTGAGAACATTAACAGAAGAAAAGGAATAACCTAGCAAAAAGCAGGATGTCTGTATATAAAGAGATAAGTTCATATTTGAAGGTCTTGTGCAGATGGTTGAGGTGAAGTAAGAAGGGAAAAACAGGTAAATGGGAAAGAAGAAAGTTTACACAATAAACTTCAAAGAGATGATTCAATGTTGTCACATTGTAACAAGATTCTCTTCAGAAATGCTGTTCCATTAGAGCTGATTTCAGCTCTACGATTTGATTTTAAGTGTGGAAATGAAAACGACAATTTTTTTCAGTTTTCATTTTGTTTTAAACAAATAAAAGAGTTGTAAAATACACTTGAAATTAATTCCAGGGGAAAGAAAATATGACACTTCTGTCAATTCAATTTAATTGAAAATACAAACATTTGTTGTTTGGAAACTTTGGAAGCCAAATAGCAGTGTTTTCAAAGTCGTAAACAGTGTATTTGGTAGGGTTTTTTTTGTTTGTTTGGTTTTTTTTTTTTAGATTCTGGAATAGAGAAATATCTAGCCAAAACACATTCTGTTCTTGCACAGTGCCTTAGTTGCTGTAATCACTGTGAAGCACTTCCATTTGCTGCTCTGCTGCCTGACTTTGCAGCTTCGCTGCAGCTGTTCACTCAGGCTCTTGTGGCAGGGCTTTCTAGAGCTGTCAGGACAATATTTTTCCCTTGTTGTTTCCTGCTGTTGGTTTCTCATGGTTTTCCTCACAGCCTTGCACCTGCAAGCCCATATACTGACTTTATGAATGGTTCTCATAGGATGCATTTGCCAGGGACATTGGGAGTCACCCTTTCTTGCCCCTTTCCTATATCCCATCTTCTATCTTTTTTAGTTTACATTAATGGAACTCAAAACTTAGAGCACAGCAGAGGTCATCTAGACACCTGTTCTAGTGAAATTCAATCACAAAACATTAGCACCAGTCCAAATGTAATGCTTATACCCATCTAAACATGATTCTGTTGGCACAAAATGCATCATGAATGGGAACAACCCACAGGATCTTGAGCAAGTCTTGCTGGAAAGTATAGAGTACTCGCAGACAAAAACGGCAGTGGTTTGTCACCATCACTGTCACAATCTGCTATGCTAGAGAGACCACAGAGGGGGGTCATCCTGGTGATGATTCCCAGCTATCCACAGAGACAGCTTTGTCTTGTCTTGCTTTTTCTCTATTCCTTTTATTTTTAGTGCCTTTTGGAACTTTGAAGTTGATACATGCCTTCAGCTCCTGAACCCACTAATAAATCATTTTTTATTAATAATCCTATCTCAATATCCTGTATGTAACATTTTTTTGAGTGACTGTACCAGTCAGTAAAGGCTGACTTAAACTAAATGTGATTTACCGCAAGGCAGGTTTACTTTGAATAAGACAAACACACCTATGTCAAATTCTTCCTGACTTTTCTTCCTGCAGGATATAATGGGAAGCCAGGAATGCATGTCTCTTTATGTGGATTGTGTCATGCATTCTTGTTGTTTTCTCCCTACACAGTGAATTTCAACTTGAGAGGAGAACTGGGCAAACCTGCACAGTCAAAGCTTCAAGTGCCAATAGGTAGTTTGCCAGGATAGATCAAAGCTGACATGGAGAGCCAAAAAAGCAAGCTGTTTCTTACCTTCTACCCATATCTGCCTGTTTCTTCCCATACGTTTCTGCATTACTTTCACATTTAAACATCTTTTACATAAAGTAATCCACTGTCAAAGCAGTGTTAATATATTCCCCAAATAATAAGGACTAATATATAACCAGCAAAATGTGTTGGAAAGAGTACAGATTGTTGGTGAGACAGATTTGGGGTTGTGCCAGAAAGAATTTCATCATTCTTGTTGCAGGTGGCCACCCAGAGAGATTATATGACCTATTTATGAGAGACTGCATCACATTTAATTGTATGAGTAACACTCTTATATGCTGCTGGTAGAGCAGGAAGGATTAATCAGCTGCCTGAAGTACCTCTATGTCTCTGCACAGTGGCTACAGAGGTAGCCTAAATGACTGATATACATTAGACTTAAGTTTTAGATGGCTGAAAGTAGCTAAGACGGATTCCAGTCTAAGTTCTCTGTTCCTCTATATCTTATACTTTTCCTAAACATTACTCCTTCTCTGTCTTCATCTAAAGAGCATGTAGCAGCACTGTGTCTGGTCAAAGCATTTCCTTCTGCTCTTCCTGAAAGCAGTAGGATTTTTTCATTGCCTTTCTTAAGTTTAGAGTCAAGCCTACTGCCCCTTGTTGTTTGGAATAACATATTAAATAGGAAAGACAGAAGCTGCTATCTCAGAGGCAGAGCATATTTAAGGACTCTCAGCCTGTAGATCTCTCTACTTCTCTTGGCTGCCAGCTCCCCTCCCTACCTCGGCTGTGCAGGAGATCACACAGTGTAATTATGCAGGTTTCTTTCTTTCCTCTTCTTAACATAACCAAGAATTGATCACTCTTACAGACTAAGTTACCACCCTGGGGGTGGAAATGGAGCTGCATTTTTCTCCTGATTGGGCACACCTCATTAGGTCTGCGACAGCCTTTGGCTGGACTCCCTACCAGGAGTAATTGGTAGTGACAACAGTATCAGTATCATTTTGCCACCTACCAGTCAGCATTCAGAGGAACAGCCAGATCAGAGGAACAAGCAGGAGTAGGTAAATCAGAAGATTACAAAGATATCACAAGATCAGTAATTAAGAAAGACCTCCAGAAAGGAGTGTCTTAATTTTATTAAGAGGTATTGGGAACCGTCATCTGTCTTAAGTAAGATGACTGAGTGTATCATTATGAAGTGCCAGGTAATGGAATTAGTAGCAGACCACGGAAACTTTCAGTCTTGGCCACGAATAGAGCTCAATAGAAAAGACAAGCCAATCTTCCCTTTATTTTTCTCCTATTAGCCAGAAGATCTCACATGTGTGGTGTTTTGTGTTTGTTTGTTTTTTTTACCCTGTAAATAAACTCCAATAAGTTGCTTACTGGTGATTTCAGCTAGGTCTGCAAGACCTTGATGGATAGAGTTTATTGTGAAACTGAAGAAGAGGGCTATGTTTAGCTTATAATGACAGAGCCACTGTGAAACTGCTGTTAAAATTGTCAGAGATGATATAGCAAGGCTAGACAGACATTGCTCTGATCCTCTCTGAAGTCTGCTTTATTCTGCAAGCAATATCATTTGACCTTATCTGTCCTACTTACAGATGATCTCGATGCCATATATGCAATTAAAATATCTTGGGCAAATCATTCATTCCTTTTTAACAGAAATATAAGAAATATTTTCAAAAACATCCTTGCTTGATTTACAAGTAGAGATCCTGAATGCGAATACAATCAGAAATGTTTTGATGATCATTTCCATTTCCAGGAATATTCTAAGAATTTGACTGGAATATGACAACAGAATTGTCTCCATGTTCTACAAAAAGTAATGCAGTTAACTTGTATTGCAGTAACATGCAGGAAAACCTGTGTGGTACCACCATTGGAGCCCATATAGAAATAAAATTAGACAATGTCTGCCACAAGAATCATACAATCTGAATATCATACTTTTAAATTATTTGCCTGCACAGCTTTGCAGTGGTGTAATTATGTTATATACAGAGAAGCTCAATGTG